ATATGTATGTATGTATATTTATTTATAAAGAGCGTACCTGCAGATTTTCAGGTCAAACGATGGTACAAAAATCTAAAAGTAACATGGTAGCAATATCATCGGATAGCTGCTAACCTTAAGGTAGGCCTATATGTTCAGTTCTTTTACATGTCATTTATATGGGAAAATACAAAAATATCAGCAATATTAGTAAATTAAATTATATTATTGTGCTCCAATAAATGAAAAGGTATTTTTATATTCCTGCCTATTAAAGGGTTAATCCAAAGTCACATACAACTTTATGTGAGAAAAAAAAAAAAAACTTAACATTCTTAAGGGCCATGAAAGTTTTGTACTATTAAAGAGAGAGAGAGAGAGAGAGAGAGAGAGAGAGAGCGAGAGAGAGGTGATCATGTTCAGACTGCTGCATGCATCCTTCAGTCTCCTCTCTGGCAATGACAGTAGATCTCAAACATCCATTAAATATTTCAGAAACGTTTAGGACAAATGATTAATAAGACTTATAAGATACAATAATTAAGAATGTTTCTGTCTCTTTCATCCTCAAATATTACAAGCATTCAAATATTAGATTACAAGCGTTTGCATTAGAAGAATATAGATATCCCAGAGCAAATGGACGAAACCTGTGTTTAAAAAATCTATTTATGAATACACAAGCGGCAGAAATATTGTAGTATAACACGAGTAATATAAGTTAATGACTAAACGCATTTGTGAAACTCTCTAAATCTCTTAAAGTAGTTCTGATTTACCTCATATGATGAAGATAGTACTCCACCGACGGAGAATCCGATTCATTCTACAAATTGTCTAAAAACAACGTGAAATCCACACTGTGAGTGATGGAGCGTGGATGGAGTGATGCTGAGGTCAAATCCAGTGTAGCGGTATAATCCGCGCATCCAGAGCTCGCTCTCCTCCGCTCGACTGAGGTGCTGGTGGAGCCTGTCCTGAGCTCGCGAGCTCCGCGGCTCCGCCCACTACTTACATTAAACACACCATTTAAAGACGTACCAAGACAAACATAGCGTTTTCTGTCAGGAATCCCCTTTAGGCATCTTCAAATGAGTGACTAGCCATTGTAATCCTACATTTAACATCACTTCTCCTCTGCAGATCGATCGAGTCTCGGATGTGAGCTGCTGTGTAAGACATCTTTGCATATCAAAAGCCTTCAGAGTGTTCTGGAACACTGGGAGTATTTGGGGAAGTCTCCATGGTCCTGAATAGACATTGTGCTTTAACTGCCCAGATACTAAACACAAAAAAGTAATGACAGTTCCGTAAAATCCATTCTGAAACACGTTTAAATGGGTTTCTAATAATTCTAATTGATACACCACGTTACTGCCATAGGCATGCGCACGTATGTTTTCCTCATTCAGAAATCTCCTCAGTCTGCCGACGCTCAGATCAAAGCTAATCTGGTCTATTGCCGTGACATATGAGGTAGTTCTCGCGACCTAATTAAACGGAAAAGTTGATGAAAAGATCACTGACGCGGCTTAATGAGGCGGTGTGAGAGTCCTGTGGGAGCTCGCAAGAGAATGCAAATGCACACGCACGCAGGAAACGTGAAATAAAACTAAATATTTTATTATTAAATCAAATGATTCCTAAATGCTGTAAATGTTGTGTTGCATTTGAAATATTTGATTTATTAGGGCTTCTAACAAGTGCTGGGGGATTTTAAATGGCTTGCTCCAGAGTATGGTAACAGTAGATATTTAGTTTTGGGATCTACAGCCCTCTACAGCCCTGGCAGAATATCCACACACCTTTATCTTTAATAGAGGGCCCAAAAGTATTAGGAACCTACACAACACTTGTCCTAAAGTGATTTTTAGTGAGTATAACATATGTCTCCCTCAAATCCACACATGTGTATCATCATCATTCATCACATTAACTATGAATTTCTGTCACTAATGTTTGGCAACAGAAAGAGCACCGATATTTTTTGAATATGTATTGCAGGGGTGTCCAAACCTCTTCCTAAAGGGCCACTATCCCACAGGAATTTAGCTTGAACCCTAATTAACCAGCTAATCAAAGCCTTCAGACTTACTAGAGAAGTGAGTGTGTTGGAGCTAAAATCTATAGGACAGCAGCCCTCCAGAGGTTCTGTGTGTGTGTGTGTGTGTGTGTGTGTGTGTGTGTGTAAAACCACAAATGTCTGTGTACATAGTTTTGCCTGAAAATACATTAAAATATTACTAAATCATCCAGGTAGATAGATGGATAGAATGTTTTATTAATGTCTTATTAATGTTTTGCTTGAAAAGTGTGTTTGTTTACATTTTGTTTAGAAAAACATGTCCACTTAATGATAATGATGATTGTGATGATGATGAGTATTATTATTGCTTAGGTAGACTGAACAGTGCTGAACTTAAATGCAATCCGCAATTGAGTTGTTATTTATTTATTATTTTGCTATTTATTTATTATTATTTATTTTATCGCTATTTTTCATACTACTTCATATATATACAGTAATTGAAAAAAATTAACAATATATATTGTATATATTTTGTATCCTCTTTTGGGAAGCTTTGAGAAATAAAACAAATCAAGATGAAGCATCTTTTTGAAATCCTCAGCTGTATGCACCTAAATGAATAAGATGCCATCCCCAGCCCTTATCATTTACATTTACAAGCTCTTTGCTGATGCTTTGTTAACAAACTGTCATAAGTGCATCTCACCTCACCAGCGCACACACAGGCACTTTGCAACTGCTAGTAAGTGAGTGTCAGTGGAGGAAATATCTTTTGTTGTCATTTTTTAAGGCTTGTGAAGATTGGGATCTTCTTTCCCCATGTTACAGAGACAGCACTGTTCATCTTTCTTCAACAACACCTCTCCTAAGACACTTTTACACTTTCCAGGAGATTATCTGCTACAATTCATTATCCCACAGACCTCATCTAAGTACAGTGCTTTTAAAGCATCCCCAAACATCACGGCAACACATAAAAACATGCTCCAAGTCTAATCTATTTTATGCAACTAGTTCCAAACTTTGTCCAAGCTCAGCAGCGACTGCCTCATTAAAGATAGCCCGGCACTGGGTCATGTTAGTCCTGTAAACAGAAGGTCTGTCTAACAAACTTCCTGTCACTGCCAGAACTAATATCTACTTAGACTGCTTAGTACTGTCCAAATGTAGCTCTCTACAAATCAAAGTAGGTCCCACAAGAAGTGCCACACCAACCTCTTACCTAAATCCTCAAGCCTCTTCTTTCCTGACATTTCTCCTGCCTCAATCTAACCATACACATTTAAAGTAGAACATTCTTCCAGAACTGTTTCCCGACTCTTTTTTTCTTTCACAGTGTGTGAAGCTAATGCTCTCTGCCCCGCGGCCTGCGACACCTCTGTCATAATTAGGAGGAACATCCTTCAGCCAAGGCAGGTGGAGGAGCCTCCTGGGAGAACCTGTAAAAACAGTCACATTCCTGACAAGAGAATGTCTTCGAGGCAGGACAGACATTCTTTGCTACAATATTATACCCTTTTTTCACTCAGTAATAAAACTTAAAATAAAAATTAACCTACTGATAAATATGCATTTAAAATTAACATTGGCAGACCGTGAGGGTTATTTTACAATATTTTTCACAGCATGATATATTATATATATTTCTAATGACCGCATATTCACTCATATTGATGGCTTAATGTGAATAAAATATTAAGATGCTCCCTTTAAGAACAGCGTGTACTGCTAAATTTTAGAGAAGCATTTGGTAAGAATGATGATGCATCCATAATAAAATAATTGTTTTATTAGAGGGCATCTATTGTTTATATAAATGTTTTGTGTACACATAAAAATAGCCATTAAACTCTAAAAATAGCTCAGTTAAAAATTCAGATACATTGAGAAAAGGTGAATTGGAGAAAATATTGTTATATATTACTGCTTGAATTGCTGTCTTACAACAGTAATGACAAATAACCATTTTCAGGACCTACCATGGCCCCAAGTTACAGGCATGCATATGCAAAACTTGCTGCCATGAAAATTAGGTAATTAAGAGTGGTGTGACTAATGGTATGTTGTGCCATTTAATAACGCGGATTCTTGGTGCTCTCTCTGCTACAGGTCCTGGTGCCATGACTGTATGATATCTACTGTAAGTGCTACAGATTTTCACCAGATGGCCAGTGTGTTTGTGTGTCCATGTGTATGCAAACAATCACGCTGGTTTACAGGTGTGACTTAGCAATAATTCATGGGGGCTCTCACACACCTCCCTGCTGGTTCAGTCGCAGTGCTATTAACCAACCGTTTAGCACCCTTGGCACTTTGGCAAGCTGGTGCTGGCACCTCAGCCCTAGTGATGTGGGTACATTTTTCATGTCTGGGAATGATTTCGGGCTGTCTGACGAAGGCCCTGCAGGCAGATGAAACATTAGAAAACACTTTTTTTCCCCTGAAAAATAAATATATAAAAAAGCCAGTGCACATGGAGAAAATAGAGTTTACTCTTATTTTTTGTTCTTTTTTACTGACCATTCATTGCATTAAAAAGCATTTTCTTGGTGACTGTGTCAAGCAGAGAAAAAAACGTTGTCCTGTTCCATAATGGATGCTAGTGAATGCATTTAGCCATTTTACCCCAATAGGATCACAGACAGTACAGTAATTATGTTTGGTGCAGAGCAGTAGCCTACATCATAAGTGAGCAAGTGTCTTTATGAGGCATGAACACATTCAGAGGAGAGTGGAAACCTTGAAGTTTTCCAACCAAAATAAAAGTTGTATGGTTTGAGAGAATATATATATATATAGTCACAAACTCACCAGCCACCTACACCAGATCACAATCACCAGATTACTGATTACGGACACCTGATTCCACTTACCATACCCTTTATCAAGCTTCTCGCCTCATTCCATTGTTGACTGGTCTCAAGGTTGCACACCTTCTCCGATCTCTCCACTTACCTGCCTGGATCTTCGTGGTTCCGTGTCTAACTCTCTCCTGTTGGCATTCCAAGAAGAATTATGAGCCTTTTGCCTTTTATGTTTGAAGATTCCGTTTTTGAACCTACCTTCAGATTGTGGCAGTAAAGAAGCTCTGGATCTTCCATTGTGTGCCTCTCTATCCAGTTTTGACAGAACACCAGTCATATAACAGTAGTATACTCAACGGATTGGAGCTTCGCGATGGAGACACGGAGCCCCCTTTCACCAGATCACTTCACCAAATTGGTCCAAGCACTACGTGAATCACTTCAGCCTCTTCCCGTCACGCCTTCAGCCTTCACATGTCCCATGGCCAAGCCCACAGCCTTCTCCGGTGAGGCGGCCGCCTGCAGCGGATTTCTTCTCCAGTGCTCACTCTACTTTGAGTTACAACCCCATCAATTTGTGAATGATAGAGCTAAAATCACATTCATCATGTCTCTGTTATTCGGGAGAGCGCTGCAGTGGGTGGAATCACTCTGGAATTTGCGCAGTCCCCTAACACGTTCCCTGGATGCTTTTGTCGACCATTTCTGAGATGTGTTTGGCAAGTCTACCTCGGCGATCTCCGTGCATGATGAGCTCTATGGCAAGCGGATATGTCCATTCACGATTATACGGTTCGTTTCCGTACTCCTGCTGCAAGCAGCGGATGGAATGAAGAAGCTCTCTTAGCGGCTTTTTGATGTGGTCTAAATCCATCTATCAAACAACAGATGTCCATCTATGAGGACACAGGGGGGCTTGAGAGCTTCCTGCAAAAGGCACTTCACATCTCTCAACATCTCCCCGCTTGCCACACATAGGAACCATCTAGCACTGCCGCTTCACCGGGTACTACTCCTCCAGCACCAGAGCCTATGCAAACGGATCGTTATCACTTGTCATCGACGGAATGAGCACGACGAGTCACTCAGGGACTGCCCTGTACTGC